TTATTATTATTTTTATTATTATTTTTATTATTATTATCTCGCGTTGTTTTTTTTTTTTTTTTTCATTATCGTTTATATTATACTTGCATGCCGATCTTTGACAAATATATATATATCTATATATATCTTGTAACGTTCCTTTATTTTCTGAAGCACCGTGTAGATACCAAAAAAAGAAAAAAAAACCTTAAAATAACAACAACAAAAAAAGAAAGAATACAATGTTATTTTTTAATCGTACAAAGAATAACGTGTAGTAGTTACTCCTCGTGTATTACCGCTTGACCGGTTATTAAAATAAAAAATAGATAAAAAAAAAAAAAAAAGAGAAACAAAATGAATTTTCTCAAGTAATAAACGTATTTCTTTCATCGTCAAACTTGCTTCGAAGTGCGGCACCGGGGTCGAACCGATCGTGGTAAGTTTTCGCCATTTGATTGCCCGTAAAAAAATATTATGTGATATAATTAATATATTAATTATATTATATTAATATATGCTACGGGTATGACACAAAATTTGTTATTTTTTCAAAAAAAAAAAAGAAAAAACAAAAATACAAAAGAAAAAAGTTTTCATCTCGTTTCTATATGATACATACAACACATACATATTTATAATAATAATTCTTAAAGATAAACAATAACAATAACAACAACAACACATCGTTGCACTTCATTCTAAATTATACACAATGTTTTTTACTGGCTGCCGTACCGTTCATTATTTCTTTCGCATTATATATATATCTTTTTTTTTTTAGCGCCTGTCGTTTGGCCTTTTATTGCAAATATTATAATATTTATATTATATTACATGCGCGAAATCGTTAGAAAACAAAAAACAAAAAAAAATAATAATAAATGGCTGCTCTTTGCTGATCGACGAATTGCAGTAGATATCGAAGCGAGTTTTTCTTTTTTTTTTTTTTTTAATATTATATAATTATGTGTGTAATTTTACTTATATTCTTCATCCCTTAGTATGTTCGTCCATTCATGTTTTGATATTATTTTTTTTGTTTTTTTTTCTCAACACATAAGTTGCATGCGTAACATATGTAAATTTTATTTCGAATTTGCCAGTGCACTGCAATCATTCGTTTCATTTTTTTTTTCCTTTTTGTTTCTTTTTTTCCCCCCCTCTCGTTATTGTTGCGTAGTAAGTAGTAGTAGTAGTAGTAGTAGTAGTAGTTGTTTGAATTAATTTTTGTTTTTGTTTGTGGCTTAAACAATTTCTCTACAATCCCGATATACGTTGTGTTATTACCCTGCATGTTCATAGTTTTAAAACAATTCGATTACATTTCGTACGAAAAACAATTCTCGAAACGAGAGTATAATAATCAATTTGTTCTACCTCGTCTCGAGAATAAAAAATAATAAATATACACGTAAGTGAATGAGAGTACGTAACGCGTGATGTATTAAAAAAAAGAAAAAAAAGAAAAAAAAGAAAAAAATTAAAAAAGGAGGAAGAGAGAAAAAGATCGAACATCGAACGTGATTCTTCTTCGTCGTTCGAATATTCGAATGTATAGAAAAGAAATGTAAAATATATACGGGAAAGAAAAAAAAAATAATATAAAGAAATAAAAAGAATAAATCGAAATGCGAAACGCGTAAAAGTTTCACGTATTTTCGATACCTCGATCTGTCTTGTGGTTTTTCTTTTTCTTTTTTTTTTATATATATATATATATATTTTTTTTTATCGATTTTTTCTTCCGAAAGACAAGATACATTTTCGAGTGAGAGAGAGAGAGAGAGAGAGAGAGAGAGAGAGAGAGAGAGAGAGGACTTTCCTCGTGATATTTTTGTTCGATCTATATTTTTCTTTTTTTATTTTTTATTATTATAAAGTACGAAAAGAAATATTCTTTTTAAATCGAACGAACTAACATGAATTTAAACGAAATGATAATATTAGTTTGCATGTTGAAAATAGGGAGCAACCATAAAGACCTGCGAGGAAACCGGAAAGATCGTGATCGCACGAATAATGCACGGTGGTGCAGCAGACAGATCTGGCCTTATTCATGTTGGGGATGAAGTATGCGAGGTCAATGGTATCAGCGTTGAAGGGAAGACACCGAATTGCGTTCTTAAAATTCTGGTAGATTTCTAAGATTATGTTTTCTTCTTTTTTTTTTTTTATATATATATATACCATACATTATTAATATCAAATTTATATAACTGAAGTATATAAATCTAGAAAAAAAAAAAAAGTAACATGATAAATATTTAAGTTTAAAAAAAAATATCACATACGCGGTGTGTCCCAATTTTTTGTCATGATTAAATTTTACCGAATATTATTTTTTATAAAAATAATAATAAGGAGAAAATAAATAATATTTTAATAATGTTTACAGCAAAATTCGGAAGGTACGATAACGTTCAAAATCGTACCGGCAGACAGCAAGGGTGGAATAAGAGAAAGCAAGGTAATTAAATGAATGTTAACTAACAACCATAACGACAATACAACACCAAGAATAAAATCATTTTTCTTTTTCATATTTAAAATTAAAAATCTATAACGAATATACATATAATAGGTACGAGTGAGAGCACATTTTTCGTACAAAGCTTCCGAAGATCCTTATATACCATGCAAGGAAGCAGGATTGGATTTCGTCAAAGGTGATGTCTTGCACATCGTCAGCCAGGACGATGCATATTGGTAAACGATATTCCGATTTCTCGATGTCGAGATTAAAAAAGATGTGATGTAGTTATATATTTTTCTAATAGAAGAAGAAAAAAATAAAAAAATAAAAAAAAAATAAAAAGAAACATATAAAAATTAAGTACAATCGTACACATTGAATCAGGTGGCAAGCAAGAAGAGAAGGTGATCGAAATATGAGAGCCGGTTTGATCCCCAGTAGAGCACTTCAGGAACGTAGGATCATTCTCGAGAGACAACAAAGGGAAAAAATCGACGATGACAATATAAGTAAGTTGAAATAATCCAATCAATATATTTCCTATCATATATATATATATATATATATATTTTGTTTTCCTTTTTCATTTTCGTCTTATTCTTTTTTTATTTTTTTTTCTACTCTCTTATAACATTATCCGATTATATTATCGTAATATCATCGGATTTATCTTTTTTCTATCACACATATATTTTATATATTTTTTTTCTTCTCTCTCTTTCTCTTTTTCCAAATATTAATCATTATTCAATGAATTTCATTTACAAACTTTTATCACATATCGCCTGTCACACTTTAATAAATGAATTATTATCAATCTTTTTATAATTGAATAACATAAAAGTAACATTAGATTTAATTAACAATCGAATTTTCAGAGCACACGTAATATTAAATATACGATATATACGATTTGATTGGTAAAAAAATAAATAGAAAAATAAAAGCAAGCACGTTTATATAGACGAGACGAGGATGATGAATTTTATAAGTCACCTCGTCGTCTATTTTTAACGATGAAAGAGGGATGATTCGATCGATCACTCTCACTCTCTCTCTCTCTCTCTTTCTCATTGGTATGAAACGTGTTGAATCCTTCAAAAAGATATTGCCTGTTTACGAATTTATATTATCTGGATAAATAACATAACCGATTCGAGTTTAAGATCTGGTTTTATCTTATTTCTTATATATCAAAATGTGCTCTGACGATCAATTATTTATCTGAACATAAATCATATCGCTCCCAAATGCTTTGCTAACAAAAAGAGGAATGAAATTTTTCTCGAAGTAGGGGTACGTGCGTTAAAAAGAACATCGAATAAGAAAAATAAAACAAAAAAAAAAGACACGCACACGACACAGAAGGAAAACAACAACCAACAACAACTACGACAAACGCTAAAGAAGAGAGATTAAAAAAAAAAAGAAAAAAAAAAGAAATCGCAAGCCTCTTTTATTTTTTGGTCGCATCATAGTAATTTTGTTGTTTAACGGATGATGGCCTGACGGCTTAACCGTCGGTTAGGCTTGTGTTCTGTTCCAGTGCCTTTGCCCGCATTGTGCCCCCGTCCCAGTACCTCTTTGCACGCCTCGCCTACAAAGTGCAACTTGCAGGGAATAAAAACTAAAAAAATCATGTATGACGCTGCAGAAAACGACGACTTCGATCGGGAAGAGGTACCGACTTACGAAGAGGTAGCCAAACTTTATCCAAGGCCGGGTCTCTACAGACCCGTTGTTCTTATTGGACCACCTGGTGTCGGCAGAAACGAACTCAAGAGAAGGCTGATGTCAACCGATTCTGACAAATACAAAACTCCTGTGCCCTGTGAGTTTCATAAATAATATATTTTAATTATATTTTCTTAACGAACACAAAATATACGAACGAATCTTTGCAAAATAATTTCGGGCTCTCTCTCTATGAGTATTTCGAATAAATTTTTCTTATTAAATATTAGATTATTTTTATATATAAAAAAAACAAGACGAATAAATAAAAAAATAAAAAAAGCAAAAGTAATGAAAAGGGATACTCGTCTCTAAAGATAAAACATAAAGTATACGAGAGAGATAAACATTTTATCGAATCGCACCGAGAGAACTGTGAAACGCGAAACGAATTTCTGAATGAAGTCGGATTACGTATTAGTAAGCATTAAATTGAATATCTTCGTGACATCATCATAACTTTTGTATTTTCCGCTTACATTGATAGTTTAAACTTTTCTATTTGTGCGAGTAGAAACGTAAAAGAAAAAAAAAAGAAAAAAGGATATATTCAATGAAATGAATAAATTAATTGTGATATATATATATCTTTGATTTCGTACAGATACTTCAAGACCTCCCAGGTCAGGTGAAATCGACGGTAAGGAATATCATTTCGTAACTCGTGAAAAAATGGAAGAGGATATCGAAACTGGTAAATTCATCGAGTATGGGGAATACAAAGGGAACCTTTACGGGACTAGTGCGGAGAGTGTTAGTTCTTTGATCAATGCAGGATACGTTTGCTTATTAAATCCACATTATCAGGCACTGAAGATGCTTAGAACGCCACAATCTAAACCATACGTGATTTATATCAAACCACCTAGGTTTGAGACACTTCAAGAAACGAGAAACGAAGCAAGAGCTAGGTCTACCTTCGATGAAAGCAACTCACGAGGCTTTACGGTATAACTAAAATTCGCGATTGATTTATTATATTATTATTATTATTATTATTATTATTATTATTATTATTATTAATTGTTATTTGTATATTATTTTTAGGACGAAGAATTTAACGAGATCCTGCATAGTGCAGCAAGGATAGAATTCCTTTATTCTCATCTCTTCGATGAAGTCATCGTAAATGCTGATCTTTCGATAGCTTTTGAACAACTAGTAAACGCCGTTCACAGAGTTGAATCCGAACCTCTTTGGGTTCCAGCTTCTTGGGTGCAATGAATACAATTCTCTCCTACAACCTATTCGAGTTTAACCAATGAACGGGATATATGGTTGATTAAGATAATCCGGACAAATAAGAGAGAAAAACAGAGAGAGCTAAAAAATAAACAATACGTGCTTCTTATCGCTAAATAAGAGAAAGGATAAGTTTCTTTCCTCTCGAGAAACAAAACGAAATTAAACGGTACGCTAATACGTATTTTTAACTCTTTCAAACATTATTCTTAAATTCTATCGGAGTTTTTTGTTTTTTTTTTGGATTGATTGATAAAAGAATTCGCTATAAATTAACAAAAAATAAAATGAAGATAATATTATTCGAATATAAGAATGAAAACGTATGAACGATTGATTAATCGATTTTATTCTCGAGAGGAATAATAAACTTGCCAAACAAGAATGGCTGTTTTCGCGTCGACTTCCTACGACGACGTTTCGAAGTTAACAAAATTTACAATTTAGAATGTTACATTGCCTTTATACCCATAGTTAAAGAAAAACAAAAGGAGAAAAAGAAAAAAAAAGAAGACAAATTTAGTACGTCGACGAGTTTACGAATGAACTACTTTATCGATTAAATCGAATTATATAATATNCCGACTGACTCCAGGGAGAAACACACTCTAATTATAAAGTTGGTTGCAAATAAATAGAGAGGAGGAAAAGAAAAAATATATAAATAAAAAAAGGAAAAGAGAGAAGCGACAAAAAAAATATTACATTAACACACACACACACACATCCCCACACATAACATACACATAGCAGATACACAAATTTTCTATACCTGCGCGTAGAACACGCACACACGTAAACGTTTTCTTCCTTTCGATCGATCGTTAATGAGAATAATGAAAATAGAAATATATAGAAAGGAAGGGACAGAATGAAAGTGATAGAGATGGAAAGAATATTAATACAAAATATAAAAATAAAATCAAATAATATACGGGGGGAAAGAAAAAAAATTACGAAACAATTCGGAAATAATGTTAAAACGAGCGAACGTTCGAACGTACGTACGATCGAAGGGCTCGAATAATTTTTCTCAGGTATACTCGAACCGTAAATTCGATGTCGTTCGCCAATCCTAATTCATATTTTTTTCATTTGATCATTATAAAAAGGCAAAGAGAAAACAAAAAAAAAAAGAAAAAAGGTTACAGAATCGAGAGAGAGAGAGAAAAAAAGAAATGAATACAAAAATACAAGGAAACAAACAAATTACGCGTAGAATTAGCGCCCTTACTGCCAAAGAGACTTTTCGTCGTTGTTACGAGACGACGACGACGACGACAATTTTTTGTATCCTTTGAAGTTCCGAAGTTGAGAAACATGTTGATTGATTGATTGATTGATTCATTCATTCAAATATTATGGCAGCCGATTTTCGTCGTAAAACGAATCGGTAAAGACACGCCATTTTTATTTCTCGCGTCTTACGTATTACATTATTCGATGAATTCTTCGAATTTTAAGATAAATTCGAAAAGAAGGCGAGAATTAATCGAAAAAGGAAAAAAGGAAAAAAGGAAAAAAAAAACCAAACTATTCGTAATTACATACGCGTTGCGATAATTAAATTAATTTAATGTGCCCTGCCGCGAATGAAGAATTCGAATTATTCATATTAACATACACACGTGAGCGCGCGTGCATGCGTGCGTGCACTCGTGCATATACAAATATACGCGTAAATAATTCTATTGGCGTGTCATTTATTTCTAATAATTTTTTACAAATGGCACGAACTTTCTTGATTGCACCTAAACTGATATACCATAATACATAATATATAATATATTCTTTACTAATATCAATTAATCGATCAATTTAATATTCGTGCCGTTTGAAAAATTAAATTATAAGATCTATAATACGCAAACCTAAAAACCTAAAACAAACTTTCTTTGCTACTGGCATATACATGTGTGTGTATGTGTATGCACACGTGTGCGTGGGCGCGCGTGTGTGTGTGTGTGCATATACGAATTGTAAGTTCTCGTTTTGTCTTCATTCTGTATCCATCTAACGTGGTCGTTTACCTTATTACTTTCAGAACATGCGAATATTTCTTGAATCTCGTCTAACATGTATATATTTACTTACTCTTACTTAACTTAATTAACTTAACTTACTTAAATAAACAACTTACGTTTAAAACCTCCCATTGAACGCGCGAGAATTCCCTTCGGGAGATGTGTTACGTAACCCGAAACATTATTTCGGAGAGGATCGAAGCCAATCAGAGATAGGAATAAAAAAAAGAGAGATAAAAAGATAAAAAGATAAAAAGAAAGAGAAAGAGAAAGAGAAAGAGAAAGAGAGAGAGAGAGAGAGAGAACTCTCGCATGCCTTGGGATCAACGATTTCTGAATGGTACCGTTTTTCTTCCCTAAATTTTAAAAGAATTGATTGATAACAATTCTTCGTTAAACATTTTTGATGAACGGTGAAAACAACAATAATAATGATTAATCATAATTATTATAATAAAATAAAAATTAATAATAAAAGCGCGCATGTATATTTAAAAAGAAAAAAAATACACGGCCACCATTGCGTACAATCCTTGATCCTGTTTGTTGTTAATTGTTGCCAAATAAATAATCTACTTAGAATGTGCGACGTTTGATAATAAAAAAAAAAAACAAAAAAAAAAGAAAAATGTCGCCTATCGCAATTATCGTATTTTCCAATCGATCGGCATTTCCATAACGTTGCTATTTTTTCCATGATATAAAATAACAAAATGTATAACAAAACAAAATACGCAGTGTAAAACAGAGAGATAATGATGAAGAAGAATAAAAGAAAGAGAAAAAGAAAAATGATATGCGCCTATCGAGACTGCGCTGTAATTGAATTGACATTCTCGATGTAAACTCTGTATGTTATCAAAATATAGCATTACACTTTTAAGTATTCACCTTGTCTTTTTGATTTATTTTATTTCGACAATTTATCTTTATTTCCGTTCTCACTTATACGTATATATTTAGATAATTAAATTATCACGTTTTGAATTTGTTATTAAATGGCGCCATATTTTAACGTGGCATTGCGCACGCGCACTTACTAGAGAGCAGTACCGTCCATAAAATTTTGATAACACGGAAAAAGGTTATAACCTCTGATAACAAGTAAGTTCTCTCGATAATGCAATAATTAAGGACAAAAAATTTATATAATTAATACTCATTAATTCTACAAGAAAGTTGTTTTTTACTGAAGTAACAACAATTATGGCAGATACAGCAGGAAAGGTAAGTTTGTATATTCATTTTTTAAATAATAATTGATTATAACCTTTTAAATTGTGCCGATATTAAACGTTATTGCTTGCTTGATTGTTTAATTACAATGCATTGATAAATTGAAATTTGAATGCAGTATAATATTGCATAAATAAATAATATTAAAATCAATATTATTTTTGTTATAAAAGGTTATTAAATGCAAGGCAGCAGTAGCATGGAAGGAAAAGGAAAAGTTATCAATAGAAGAGATTGAAGTAGCTCCTCCTAAAGCTCATGAAGTACGTGTTAAAATACTATACACTGCATTGTGTCATACGGATTCTTATACTTTAGAAGGATTAGATTCAGAAGGTATATTTCCATGTATCCTTGGACACGAAGGCAGCGGTATAGTTGAAAGTGTTGGAGAAGGTGTAACCGAGTTCAAACAAGGTACTTATTTTAATAAGCTTTTAATTAATATTCTACATAATATCTCTGTTATATATTTGAAATAAAATTTCTAGGCGATCATGTTATTCCTCTTTACATACCGCAATGCGGAGAATGTAAGTTTTGTAAATCACCAAAAACGAATTTGTGCAGTAAAATTCGTGCAACTCAAGGAAAAGGATTAATGCCTGATGGCACATCTCGTTTTACTTGCAAGGGACAATCTATTGCTCATTTTATGGGTTGTTCTACGTTCTCTGAATATACTGTCGTAGCTGATATTTCCTTGGCAAAGGTAAGATTCTTGATTATTTTAGTTCTATTATATTTAAACGAATTCGTGTGATTTTATTATTACAGTATTTTTATAGATCAACAGTACTGCGCCATTGGACAAAGTCTGTTTATTAGGATGCGGTATCTCTACTGGATATGGTGCCGTACTTAACACTGCTAAAGTAGAGCCTGGAAGTACGTGTGCCATTTGGGGTCTTGGCGCAGTGGGATTAGCAGCTGCATTTGGCTGTAAAACTGTTGGAGCTTCACGTGTTATTGGAATAGATATTAATCCTGACAAATTTGAGCTAGGTAATTATTATTGAAATAATTCTTTCTATTCCAGTATTATCGGTTTCATTTATCTAACATAAGTAATTTATTTATGTTTACAAGCTAAAACATTTGGATGTACTGAACTGATTAATCCTAAGGATTATACTACTAAACCCATTCAAGAAGTTTTGGTAGAGCTTACAGACGGTGGACTTGATTACACATTTGTTTGCATTGGAAATGTGCAGAGTATGGTGAGTATAAATGAATCCATGTAAATATTCTATATTATATTTAATGCTAATGTCTTTTTCTTATAATATTTTTATTATAGCGTGTT